TATATATGTAATTTTGTAATGGTCTGAAGCGGCGTAATTAATGACCTCAATAATTTAAAATGTAGCGACTGAATTTACACAAAATATTACTAAATGTTGGGGAAAATTTTTATATATTATTAACTCGGTCGATTCGATTTATACGATTAAATACACTAAATTGAATTATAATAAAATAGATTAATTTTTGACTTTTATCGCCAAACTCGAGGGTATCCTCGGGCATTAAGGGGGAATAAATATGGTCAAATATCCATGGCAACCGTGACGCCATCTTGTGATGTCAGATAATGATCTTATTTATATCTGGCTTCTGACAAATGGTAAACAATGGCCTTATTTATATCTGGCTTCTGATAAATGATGATCAAATATTTTTAGAACAATTCGGACTACTTTTTTTTTTAAAAAAAAACTTGTATGAATCTTTGTAATTCGAAAGCGTAACCCATCATCAAAGGCGCCGCCGCTCTAGCGAGAGATTCAAACATTTGACGTCACAATATTTTCAAATTAAAAAATCATCATTATTAAAAAACAAAAACTGTAATGCAAAATATTACCGAAACTCATTAACATCAATAATTAGTTAATAATTAATTGTAATTAGCTATTTCCGCAATACATCTAAATGGAATTAAAACCGTGGAAGTGCCGACACAGTTTAAGGTTATGAAGGCGAGATAATTCAAAACCTTTATACAGTAAAATCCAGGAACAAATTTATAATTTATTCAAAAAAATGCATTAAATTAATAATTTTTCTTTTAACAAATAACCGATTTAGCGGCTCTATTGTTTTAAATGCGATATAAAACTAGAAATTACAACGAACGCCCGATATTTTCTGCATGATCGCTCGTTAATTATCATTAACTTCGCGTGACTTGAGGGAATCTTTTTGTAACTCATTAACGCTTCGATATAAAAAAAAAAATCACAGAATAATAATCCTCCATTGGAATTAACAGAGCTTTTTAATACGCAATTCGAATTACGCAACCTAATCAATGCGTAGGAGACCCGAAATGGCGTCAAATTGACAATTTTCTTAAGTTAAAAAGTACGAATAATGCACATACCTCGACATCTCATGGAATATTTTCTACGAAATAAGCTACCATAAACGAAACAAAATATATTCCGCAACGAAACCAAAATGAAATACGCTGGTATTTCGTATTTTCGGATCTCTCTGTCTCTCTCGCTTTCTCTCTTCCTAATTTGCATAAATTGCGAGCCGATGCCGACCGTTTCTGTAATGCGAAAAACATTATTTTCGCCTTTTTTTTTTAAATTCCTTTTTAGTTTTTTCTAGTTGAAAAACGTGGAAGAAACAATATCGCTGGCCGTGTTTAGTGTCTATACGTAATATATGCAAATTAGAGCGCTAGCGCACTGAACATATAGGCCTATATTTTTTTCACACGCTCTGCGTACATTTAATTATTGGCATTGCTTATATAACCCGCATGTAAATGAAGTAGATTTCCCCCCTAAACAAAGATAAAATATGACAGATATGCGGAAGTTAAGTGGAAAAAAAGGGGGGAAAAATTTACATAGCTAAGTGGAATGAATAGTTAAGGATCTTGTAAACGAAACGACTGGTCCTAAAATTAATGTAAACAGTAAATATAAATGACTAAAAATTAAAATAAAACTGATAAATTCTCCTTGCAAATTTGAAATTATTTTAAAATGAAGGATTATTGGAAGTTTTGAGTGTCTAAATAATATTTTGTTTTGTGTCTTCTGTTAATTTTTTGCTTGTAAAATCTAGAATCGAAAGTTGTAATTTAAATAAGAAGAATTTAAAGAATAAATTTAGCAAAAAATGATGATAATCTTACAATTTATAACTTCATATGAATTCTATATTCTTTCAAAAATAAATTGTTATTAATATTTGAACTATAATATAATATNACCAACATAATAATAATAAATAAAACTTTCGTTTACCTGTAAGAGCTACTAAAATAACGATCGACAACCTTCTTATAAAATCGATCTATCGATCATTTTTTTTTTTAAACATTTCGAATCGATATTCGGAATAATCATAATTCGAAATATAAAAACAAGACAAACCATGAAAAAGTATGCAAGAATATGGAAAATGAATAAATAAATCTACTTTAAAAAATTCACGAAGAATAATTATTGACTAATGCACATTACATTACAATTATTGACATTACAAAAACAAAATGCAAAATAAATATTCCGAATTAAAATTATTACAATAAATCAGCTTAGTCGAAAACCCAAAACTAATCATTCTTAAAAATAATCGGATTAATGCATTTTTCTCAGAGTTAGATAATTTAATAATAGTCTAAAAATCACAAAACTGTCAAATGGATGATCTCCGGATGTTAACACGTGTTAAACACATAAAAAAATCAAAAAAGAGTGGGAAAAAAACAACGAAGAGATATTATATTTTATCACCATATCGGCAAAGAAATCCACACGTCATCGAGACGATGGTAATCCTTGGTAAATGTCACACGTGTCTGTCTGCCTTGGATAGAAAAACCACCTGTCAGTGGTAAGAACCGCAAACGTTGTTTGAGGAATATCAGTCTATTGACTTTTCTTCCACATCCATAACATGGAAATGCGGAATTCCTCGGCCTCTTTAAAATATCTGGAATATGGTGGAATTTAATATATGCCATATAAAAATCGATAGAAACTCGATGAAAGAACGTCGTTAGGGGTGATCTAACGTGCGGTGCCACTCAAATCTCGGGTGATTGACCTCGGCTTTACTTCTTAATTGTTTACAGATCCATCCTTTTCTACTCTTTTACCAATTAATTCGTGTATCTTTAGTGATTTTTGCTCCGTCGAGCGGAACCGATTCGAGTCAAACAAACGTTTTTCTTTTTTTTACTTAAAATTTGCCGTTTTGAATGCCATCCCCTGCCCGATCCTGAGTCTTACCGGATAATTTTCAAATATTATTTGCTGGTAGATAAACATTAGCAGGTTAAATATTTAAAAAGCCAACAGTTATTTAGTTTTTGTAAAATTTAATTAATACGGAAAAAAACTTTTAAAAACAATGTTATCTTTATAAAAACTTAATTAAATATGTAGAATTTATGTAACTAAGAAAAAGTGATAAACAAAATTACCGAAGAGGAAGTGTTTTTCTTCCTTTCTTTTTTTAAATTTTTAATAGAAAAATCATGTAGGAGATTAATTAAAAAGACGAATGTTAAGGTTTAAACGAGCGTGGGCGGTCAAAATTCGGTAAAATGAGTACAATCAGAATCCTCTAGGTTACTAACAACACCTTTTAACAATATTATTTTCCGGTAAACACCTTTGATAAAGATTGGATGTTTATCACGTATCTCGCTTTTCTAAAAATGGGTTTCATCTATGGAATGGTTGGAAAATATGGGTTAAAGAATGTAAGTATTGTTTTCTACTATCCGCTAAGAAAATGTACGTAATATTATTTGTTTAAGAAATAATACATCAACGTAGCGGTTTTTGTTTGATGTGCAATTATTCTTATTGTGTATAGTATATAAACAGTTGTTAGCCATATTCCGTGTGGGCGTAGAAACAATAAATATGGAATCCTCTTGTTTAAAAAGTGGAGCACTTATCATCTTCACCCAAAACGAAATTCGATACGGGATTATCCTACGCTATGAATATTGGATAGGATTTAGAACAAGAATAGCAAAGATAAAAAATAAAATAAATAATAAAAATACCACATCATCCATCAAATTGATTCTACTAGAAAATTTCACATTTAAATCTGTTCTAAGATGATAAAATGCGAATAAAAATGGTTCCGAATTCACATCTCGATCATCGTTCGAGTTAATTGGAACAAAATAAGAGTTTGTTGTTTAATTATTAAATAATAAACTCAGTTAGGTGGGCATCACTCGGATAATCAAGCAACGATAAATGTTTTTTTAATAGCTTATCATCAATAGATGATGAGCTATTAAAAAAGAACGAAATTTAGTTGAAATTTCAAATTCATTCTTATATAAATGAGACGATTTTGTAGATTAATGCGAGTGAATTATGTTAATTAATATAGTAAATTCGAGTAAAATAGGTTAACAGTTTTCCTAGCGACGTAAAGATGTTGGAGCTGCTTCCGTTTGTTCTGATAGCTCTATCTCATTACCGACAATCTTGACCTCGCGACATTTAAGAAGACGTATAGTAGTCATTCTAAGTGATGCAGCTAACCAACATAATAATAATAAATAAAACTTTCGTTTACCTGTAAGAGCTACTAAAATAACGATCGACAACCTTCTTATAAAATCGATCTATCGATCATTTTTTTTTTTAAACATTTCGAATCGATATTCGGAATAATCATAATTCGAAATAAACCAATCGCGTCATTAATTTACATGGATTTTCGAATTTATTGGTTAATTAACGGTGACGTATTTTGAAATTTTAAACGTTCTACTAGCACGGATCGAACGCGATTGGTTAACGATCATTTTCGAATTCGAAATCGATTAATTTCCGACGATAATGTTAAAAAGCGTGACGGTGGCATATTTAAAACTTATAATTACGATCCTCCGATAAGATTTATTGCTATAAAAATCGTTTAAGTGATTAGAAATGACGTCAAAAGTCATGCTATTAATGATATCACGACTCATGTTACATCAAGGCGCCCATGTAATAGATAAAACCACCATATTGGCGCCTGTATCCCACGTGGACGTCTATTTATTATTATATAAAAGTAGATAGTAGATAATATAATATATAGTAGCGTGCTACGTGCCAGCTGAGTTTTAAACAGATGTATATATATATATATAATTTTTAGTACCACGATATAAAAAAAATACTACCGATACATACCATTTATGTGTACAGTATACGTGATTATTTAAAAATCGTATAGGCGTTATCGACTTTCCAAAGCGATTAAATAACACACAGAAGCATGTATAGTTAACGTAACGGGTAACCATACTGACCTTTTCCTACGTTCATCCATGGTATTGACCGTTGAATGTGCATCGACGAACACTCTGCACATTGATAAAACATTTAAAAACGACTAAAACTGCCCGATCCATAGCGGACTCTCAACTGCTCTGCAAAGCACAACGGTTGTGCAGTAAAGACCGACCGACATGTAGTTGAATCAGGGTCGTAACGTTAAGTAAATTCGGACGGGTAAGTCGACTACGGATGCAGCCATGATCACATCTAAACCATAGACCTGTTAGGAAGGTGTGCAGAGGTTCTGGAGTTTGGTGTGCCCGGACAACGCCTCAATCGATCTGTGTGGTGCACAAGCGTGCCACGTCATAGCCGGGACTTCGCTCACGTCATAGGTAAAGCCAGTTGAAAGCTGAAAACGTCATTTTCCAAACACGTCATTGTTGCTTTACAATTTTGATAATTTTCTACTCTGTTTTGCGAAGAATTACTAAACGTAATCGCGCGCGATTTACTCATCTTAAAGGAAATCTTACGACAGTCGAAAAGGAAAAAAAAAATAGCGAAAAACTTACGATAAAAACATTATTAACGTGATGTTTTTCTGTTTTACATACGTATAATCGTGTTTAAAAACGGTGTGTGTGTTTCTAACATTATAAACACGAAAACATACGTTTTTGCGGATGTCATCGCGTACAAAACGCAATAGAAAGAGAACAATCGTTACACTTTTTTTTTAAATATATATAAATTTATATTCAGGAGTAAACAGAAACGTATTCGGATGTACAGTACGTATAACAGAAAGCTGCCATGACGTCAGCGATGACGTAAGAGGGAGCATATTTGCCTGTTTGCTAGTGACCTGTTTCTAAAAATAGTAAAAGTTGGCGTGTCACGAGAAGACCTCGTTTTTGGAATTCTTCTTCCGCACTGACAACTCCCTCTTTTCAACACTAATAGATTTCATACGTGAAATATTTGATAGTATACGTTTTCTGGTCGGAAAGACCGAAGAGGAAAACAGGAAAAATATATATAACACAGAAAAATATATTATACACGAGCGTAAAAGGAGCTGGTTTATTTTATTACATTTATATACGTATTTTTAAAGGTATAATTATTATATAATTGGTTTATTTACAGGTGGAAATACTTAGGCATGTATATACATTGTTACCTACGATCGACAAAAATTTTATCGCTACCATCACCTTTTGACATTTTCGGTACGGACAGCAGATACGAACGGTAAATGTTTATTTATTTATTCTTCAATTTCCAAATTAACTACAGAAATCATTATTACAATTTTTATGTCATTTATTAATTAAATAATACACACCTTCAGACATATACACATGTGTATAAACGTACCCACAACACACGATTATAAACTTATACAGTATTAAATATTTCAAAAAAATACAGTAAAAAATCAATTTCTCTCAGATGTCATTTTTCTAGGAAAATGAATCTGTAAAAAATCTTTTCTTAAAAGTATAAATTCTTTTAAAAAATTGATCTTTTCCAAAAACTGTCATTAGATTTGAATTTGACCGTTCTGTAAATCTTAAAATATGATTTTTTTTCTTTATTTTATATATTTAAAATCTGTTGTAATTATTAAAAAATCATAAGAAAATCAAGAGTTTCAAGTTAAAAAAATTTTGTTTTTAATATAAATATCAAAATAATAATAATAATTATAGTGATTTTTCGGATTATAAAAAAACATGGGAAATAAACAAAAATAAATCGATAAATACATCATCGCCATTCGAATTTCTAGAAAATATATAAGAAGAAACAAGTGTGATTTTTTTAGAAAGTTTATTTTTACAAATTTTGTCTTACTTTGGAAACACTCCCCTTTATTGCTTTCTCCTTTACGGTTGCAACATTATGGAAGTCTATTGCTATGGTAACTGCATCCGTAATACGTCCCGTGACGTCACGGAGCAGATATTTCTGTTGCTAGGGTGTGCGGAAGGAGCGTATTCGGGTGTATATTAATCCTTAAATTGGATAATTTCTACGGATTTAATTAACCGCGCAGTTAGACTTAACCTGGCCACAAGTTTCTATATACATACCGGAAGAAAACATTGCGTGAGAGTTAACCATTATTAAAATTCGATTAAGCATGCAAATCAAAATTTTAATAACAAATTTCATACAAACTAGAATCGGTGTTACGTATGCAGTCGTATTTACATGTAAATAATATTCTGATTGTGTTATTTTATGTCGTCCTGCTCTCTATATTCGCATTATTAAGAGGCTGTATGTTAAAACTGGGTTTTTTTTTGGACATACTCGTTAAACAATTATAATGAATTAACACCAGCGTATCTATGCATTCTAGAAAGACATTGACACCGTGCAAATATAAGTTAATACATTTATAATTTGTACTGCAACGTTTAGTTTAAATCACTGCACTCCACGAGTTTGTATCTTGATCGATCGATGTTTATTGTGTAGATGCGCGCTTCGAATATATTTTATAGGAGTGACGACCGTTTAATTTTAACCTATTGAACTCCGTACGTGTTACAATTATACGTCTAAACAAACGAAAGAGAAAGACCAGATAGACAATCAATAAGCATCTGCTTCTTGGTCTGCCAAGACTTGCGTCATAGAACGTCATAAGCCCCCTAAATGATTACGAAAGACAGCTTTGTCGTCTAGGTCAGACTAGACATCTGGTCGATAGTTTTAACATCTGCACGTTGCTCCGTACTCTTTCCTACGTAGGAAAAATCTATATAAAAAAACACAAAAAGTGCATCGTATGACATACGTTAATTACAACGCGCCGGGGAATTTTACTATTAAAACTACGGAGTAAAATTGGAATTAGACGTATACGCGATTGATCATAGGAATAGAACCGCCAACGTTTGATGCTTCCAACCTTGAACTACGTTAACCTCGTTGCTATAGCGACTGCAGCTAGGACGTAGACTCCACGCTAGCATCTACTTTGCTGAATCCGGGATTCGCGGCATTCGGCCTTACATTTTTATGTTGATCAAATAATGTTACGTGTTTACAACCGTTACAGTTACGTCGTTGCCGCTTCCCCGGAAATACAATTTTTCTGCTGAAACGAATCTACTTTTCCTTGCACAAACTCGTATATTTTTCCCATTAACTCGTTCCTTTAAAACGCGTTATTTCGAAGGGGTAAAAACGAAAGAATCTACAATCAAGCGACGTCATTTTCTTCAATCAAATTTATTCCAATCACATTTTATAGAGACGTTAATACAAGAAAATGCGGATGGGTTAAATTAAACCGTTTCTGGAATGCAACAGCTTACAAATAAAATTGGAAAGCCAATTTTTAATAATGAAACCTTGTATAAAAAAAACTTAAGCAGTTTTAGTTTGGTAAATAATTAAAAAAAAAACATTTAAATTCTTAATCCTTCATGGATTCTTCTGTCGGTGCTGCTGCAGCTGGAACATCATCTTTGTCTTTATACTTCTTAGAACCAGACACTATGTCGTCAATTCTTAGTAGCAACACCGCAGTCTGCAGAAGTTAATTGTAATGAAAGAATGAATTAGAAATAAGTTAAATTCTTTAAAACAAAATAGTTTAATTAACAATTATTCAAAATTAAAAATATAGTAGTAATAATAAAGAAAGTTACATACCTCGATAGCAGTTTTGTATGTCTGAAGTTTCACAGCCAAAGGTTCCCATATTCCAAGAGTTGTCATGTCTGCTAATTTACCTGTTTCTCCATTAATACCCCAATTGCTATTACCTGGAGTTGCATGCTTTGCCTAAAAACATATTATGTTATTGAGTTATGTTAAATGCAACAGAATAAAAATATCCTTGGCAAAATGCATAAAAAAAAAAACTAAGCAAGCATGATTAAAAATTCAAAATAAATTTTATAATTGTTTTCTTTTATTTCGTGTAAACAAACTGGAAGATGGCACAATTCGCTCCTTAGAAATCACATCTGGTAAATATCATTACAGAAAGTGATTAGTTATAAGGGTTTATATTATTCTAAAAATCGAAGGAGGATAAATACAAGTCAAATATTTGCAGTCTTTACCAGGTTCTTGGAAATTTCTATTATTAGAAGTGTTTTGAACAAATAAATAAATATTTAACATGTTCCAAAGTTTTGATCTCAATTGGTAAAAAAAAAATCATCAAAATAATTCTATTTATTAATTAATGAAATTAAACAATCGTTATTTGGTCATTAACAAATGTTTAAATAAAGTAAAATATTCAAATCTAATTATCATCATCTTAATAATCTATTTAGAATAGACAGTGGGTGTTTTCCAGTTAAATATAGAAACGAATGTGCTTTTAATTTCCTTTTTTTTTGGGGATAATTCCCTTTATAAGCCAGATGTCGATGTAAAAAAAGAATTAAAAATGTTAAACAAAAACGAATCTAAAAATATATCGGAGCAATGCATTAAATCACACAATTAGCATTTGTGCATTTCTAATGTAAACAAATTAACAATGCCAATGCACAAGTATTCAAAATTTTCTAGGTAATTAGGGCAAAATAACAGATAACCGTTTATTGTGATAAAGTATTTTATCACAGTGTAGAATCATTTAGATTTCATTTGCTTTCAGGAAGGCGTTAATTTAAATTCAGCATCTTTCAGGAATCAGGATATGAGAGTAGGCATCACAGATATAAGATCAAGCGAAAAACAAAAAGAATGATACAATACTTAGGACACACCTACTCTGTCCATTAATTTCAGCATTCTCATATGCATTTCATAAACATATACTATTAAAAAACAGTGGATGATAAAAAAAATTAATTTGGAAGTGAAGTAATGGAAGAAATCAAGTATTTATACGATTGTATTTTTTAGATTAAAAAAATTTAACAAATAAAATTACAAGTTAACATATCAAAAGTGTAAACATTATGGAATTATTTAATTGTATAATATTTCATTAAACATTCATGCTTTTAATGTTAATCAGAAAAATTATATTTAAGTATTAAAATTATTTGCAAGATATTAAATATTTTATCCAAATTATTTCATTAATTTTAGAAAATTGTATGAAACATTTTTTAAAAGATTATCTGAGATTACCCTTCAGTAGAAGATAAGCAGAAATGTTGTGTAGCTACATTAAAGTTATGACAATTTCTAATAATTAAACTTAATGATATAATGTAAACAATTTTTCTCAAAACAGAAGTTTGCAAACTTTAAATATTCTATTGTCTACTAAATTGCAAATTAATCTTTGATATATTCTACTAAATATATATATATAATATGCAGAAAATAACTAGATCTGATTACAGACATAAAAGCAAAAAGAAACCATATTATTCAGAGATAAAGTGATGAAAAGTACAGTACATAATTAAAAAGAGGATAACAAAACTTCCAATATATTTCATTTAATATGAATAATAATTATTCACTTCACTAATTCCAGAAAATTTTAAATTCAGCATAAATAAAAACCTATCAAAACGTTCCAAAGGATTCTCCATAGAAAGCACAACAATGTTAAATTACATTTAGTGCATTTAATTTCATATCATAAAATTTATTTTTTATTCCACACATCTATTTCACTTTAGGTTTAATATAAAAAAGCATAAATATTTTTTTGCTAACATATAAAACAAATATGCTTTTTTTAAATTATAATTTGTCGTGCAATAACATTTAATGTACTTTAAATACAAATTCTACACTTTGATCTGACATAAGATAATTTAGGAAATTTTGAATGAAGGAACTAAAATATTATTAACTTCCTTCATTCAAAATTTCTATATAGTATTCAGAAGTATGCTATAATAATCCTGCTGGTAAATAACATATTCAAATGTTAATTCAAATTCTTGAAACAATGATATAATATTGATATAACTAGACATTTTGGTATATATATATACCAAAATGTCTAGTTATATCAATATTATATCAATATATATATATTTACCATAGAATAATGTAATACATACAAATATGCTATTATGCAAGGAAAACAAAAACAGTACTGTTTAAGTTAAAAACCAATTTTGAAATTTATACTGTTAAATTTAGGATAATAAAATTAAACTTAAAAAAGTCAATAAATATACTCTAAGATTATTTACCTATTACAATTAAAATTATAGAATATAGTAAAAAGCTTAAAGTTTTCAGAAAAGGTACAATCATCTTAGTAACTATGATTTTTTTTTTTAATTTAAAATAATTACAGAGTGAATGCAGTGATTTTTTAGCATTGTGTCTGCTTGAACATCCAGTTCATGCAGGTGCCAACTCCAGTTTACAGTAGTATGAAGTATGTAATCTCCCATTTCTTGAAAGGTTGAAACTTGTCATGAAAGTTAAAATTTTGGTGCATAAATTTCCAATTGTGAATGATCAAATTCCCAAACACTGACATCCATGAACATTGAGGAAGTAGTATACATTAACCACTGAGCAGTGACTGACATATCCGTCAAGGGCAATCGTGTGGCAGTGGTGAAGGACAGATATATCCGCAAAATTGTTCTGTGGATATCGCCAAAAACTGCCGCAAAAAAATTCACATAATAAAGGAATCATTTAACAATAAAAAAAGACTTTTCTTTACTAGACATAACTGTTTACAAAATCTTTTCCTGAAACAGTAATGAAAAAAAAAAAAAAAAAACACGTGGAAAAATACTTTAAAAATTTCCTAGTTTATTCTCCACTATATAGGGATAGCACCACACCTGACTAACCTACTGCTGAAAGGTTAAGAATATTTTATCTGTTATTAATAACTAATAAATCTGGAATTAGGATTTAAACATAAATTGTTCACAATACAAAGACTGACTATTCTATAATAACATTTTAGAGTAAAAAAAAAATGTTGTTTATAATTAAATTGATTTGATATTAAACTTTCAACAATGACAAAGGCAAAATAAAATAATTTAAGTTTCAACAAAATATATTTCCCTGATGCAGACTAGAATGATAAAAAAACTTCCATTTTTATAAATATTAATAAATGAATAAAAAAAATATTAATTCCTTTGCTACATAATTATTTGATCTTTCTTGCTATTTATTACATATTCACAAATATTACATTAGTTCATCACACAATGATTCACTTCTAATTAATAACAGCTCTTCATCTTTATCTTGTTAAGTTTGATTTCACTGTCAGCTTTTTAAAAAAATATTCCAAGGCACAGTTTGATGTAAGAATTTTTTAAATAGTAAAAATGTATGTATGTATGTCATAAAAACGTAACTTTGTCTAAGGCAAATCTAGTGAGATTTTTAACATTTAACAGTAAAAGTATTTATAAATATTTACATGAATTTAGCAGAAACAAAAAGAGAAACAACATTATTATTTATATAGCATGTTTGAAGTAAATAGGTTACAAAAATGTCTTAATAATCTGAAATTTATGTTTGTTTACTATTATTATTATTGAAATAATTACTTTTTGAATATATAATTCATATGCAGATTATTATTTACTAATATAGTTTGTTTAAAAATTTATTCTTTATTTAGCACTATTATAACTGTTGGTCTCAGTCTGTCATATTTTTAGTACATTTAAATTCAAAATAACTAAAAAACCAACCTTCTTGTAATTTTTAAAAATGTTAATAAGAAAGAAAGAAAAAAAAAAATAATAATAATAAATAATGTAGACTAGATGATATTTTAACTGTTACATTTGCAAGTTTTTTCTTATCTTAATTGCAAATTATTGTAAGTAATCATAAACTAAGTTGATAAGGACATTTCATAATAAAAGAAATATTCGTATGTTTTAATGTTCACTAAATCTGCATTACTACATAATTTGATTAAAAAAATGAAATACAATGTCAGTATAAATGGAGTCAACAAACTAAATTAATACAAAAATAATAATAATAAAAAATATTTACACTGTCAAATGATTGTCACCATTTTTCTTTTTCTTGTTTTGGCAAACGAAAGCAAAACAATTCTCTCTTTCACTTTTAAAATAACTAAATGACTAGCAAATTTTACACATTCAATATCAGATATCAATTTTATATAATTTAATGTGTTTATTAATTTATTAATGTCAAATATAATATAAATAAATCACCTACAATTGATTACAATTGAAAGTGTAAAATACAGAATTATTTTTATGATTGTTCTATATACATGCATATACTTGGAGGCATGATTAGACATTCACACTTATGGCTTTAACATTATTATTTTTAAAAAAGCTGTTTACTTTAAAACATGAATTAAAAGAATTTCAAAACTGCAATATTAAGAGATGATAATAGAAGTACTAGCTAATTATTTGCAATGATTTTAAATATTGCTTTCATATATTTTCAAATCAAGAATTGTCTCAAATTTCTTTTTCCCAACTAAAATATAAAAATATTTTTATAGTAAATTAGAAAGTAAAAATATTCTTTCAATATAAAAAAAATAAATTCATTTCATCAAATAAATTTATGAGTGAGATGAAAAATGAGTAAAATATTTCAATAGACAAAAGAAAAGACAACAGCTCTTATATAAAGAAACATCAGTTTCAATATCAATAATCATCTACAAATAAAAAGAGTGATGTTAAATTTATTGTTAAATATGAATAGAATCACCAATTTCAAGTTGATCAATTCTAACTAAACAATTACTTCAGTTTTATTATGAAGAACTGATCTTTGCAGTAAGGTATATTTCAACTAAAATAATGCAAAACCATCTTCCAATACAATGCAAGGAACATCCAAAAACAAACTCTGAA